GGGGGGGGGTGTATAGGATTGTCCTCATTTTTTACAATTATAAGGGTTTTGCAGGAAATGGACATTGCGTGTATTGTAAGAGCTACTCTCATGAATAATGATTAGTTGGATAGATATTTACTAACATGATTATTTTGACTTTTTCATTAATATTTAAGATGCATTACATCAGTATGATTTTGTATATTTATTTATTTATTTATTTATTGGGGGTGAGGGGTACAGGAGAACTCAAAACACTGTCCGTACTCTTATTTTTGGTAGCAATAACTTGAATATTGTTGCGTTCGATTTAGTAACGAAAACATGTGAATTTATTTTAAACATTCAAAAGCAGAAATGCAAATAAAATAAGCACTGGTGTTTTTCAAATGGCATCTTAGTTTATTTTTAAGTGATATAAGAACCCCTTAACAATCTGCCTTCCTACTCACAGCTTCTTATGAATAAATTAAAGTGTCACCACACTAATGTGAACAGCCTATGATTAAATAGCTATAAAAGTTTTTACAAGTTATATATTTATTCAGACAATAAACTTTACATCTTAAATGAGAACGCTGCAAAGTTATCATTTATCTTTTTACTAATTTGTTTAGGCAGAGGAGAAGGAGCATCAAAAAAATATTGTTGACCAGATGGTGTGGACACCAGAAAATCTGCTCAGAAATGCATCTACCAGAATCAACATGTACAACGAGACAATGCTAAGACCACTGGAGGTAAGATACCCTGCTGTTTATTTTTGTGAATAGTGTGGCTGTATTAAAAAATAGCATAAATATTGCTTGGATTAATTAGAATAATGCTGAAGGCTCTGGATGTTGTGGGACTGTCATGGTTGGCACATCTATTCAGTACTGGGACAATGTCTGTGGAGTGGCAGACCTGGGTGGTGGTTCTAATTTTTAAAAAGGGGACCAGCGAGTGTATTCCAATTATTGTGGGATCACACTTCTCACACTCCCCAGGAAAAAAATTTTTCGGGGTGTTGGAATGGAAGCTCCGACCAATTGTCGATTAAACAGTGGACCAGATCTTCACCCTTGCTGAGATGATAAGAACAAGTAATAGAAGATGTAGATGGAGATACTGTAAATATTGCTCAAAAGACATCATTTGAATGTTTTGTTGCTTAGTATAAAATCTAAAGCAAATCAATGATATTTAGAAAAACTTAAATCTAAACCATAAATTGTTGTATAACTCTAGGTGTTGCGAGTGATTTAATCTTTAGTAAATTATCAGAATTTCACCCCTGAATGTTGACATCATGACAGAATCAGATGGAATATTGTTAATTAGCAGCCTAAACATATGCTTAAAGAAACTTGATATTTTACAGGACTACATGACAGAGCACAACCCCCTCTACCTGTTGGAGCTCGATGGAAACAATACACCAGAAGAGCTACATTTGGTAAATGCAAAACCAAAAAATATATACTTTCATTTTTTAAGCTATTGCTAAGGTTTTACTTAGTGTTGTCTTAAATGGCAGACAGGACTTTATGTTCCCCAGCTGATGGATTCTGTGGGCTGATTTGGGTTTTACTTTTAGTCTGTGATGACCCGACTTGCAACTATGGCTTTAAAGCACGTCTCTGTTCCAGTCCTCCTCCACCACCCTGATGATGAAGAACTGCCAGAGAACATTGACATGGTCTGGACAGCTTTATAATTTATGTCAAAACCATTATTGTGAATGCACTTTAGAACTAGTGTTCTTAGCTGTAAACACAAGTTTAATGCACAAATACATGGGAATATTTTTGGTGTACTCTTCTTAATCTCCTCAACAGGATGACCTTCTGAGAATTATGTCTTCCTCCAGGACAGTGGCCCCCGGCTTTCGGTGGAGAAGGAGCCGATGGGGCCACACTTGTCCTGTTGCTCTGAAGGAGGGCAAGATTATTCCTGGCAAAGCAGAATTTTCTGTGGGGTAAGTGCTCGCCTCTTATTCCATATAGAAACTGGAACAGGATAAAATGACTCTCATCTCAAACATTGTACAGTTTTCAGGACAAGCTGTACATCCTTTCATCTCAGGAGACCTACCAAAAGTTTGTCACAAACCCCAGACGATACTTACTCCATCCGATGCCCAGACCCCACTGCAAAGTGTCCATAGTTGGTCCTCGTCTGGCTGGGAAGAGCACACTGTGTCGGCTTCTTGCTCAGCACTATGGTGCGGTGGTGCTCGACGTGGAGGAGCTGTCACAGCCAGTTTTAACCAGGGCTGAACAGGAAAAGCTGGACAAAATCAACAAGGAGACAACACAGGCTGCTATAAAGAAAATAAAGATGAAGATGAAAGAAGACGGTGAAGAAAATTTGGGCAAGCTGGACACATTTTTACATGTTGTAAAACATGATTCACCCTGTCACACATCTTATTAAAGTTTTTGCTCCTGATTTAAACAGATACACCCAGCTCTGCAGAAGGTATTCCAGTGAAACTGAGGTCAGTGGGCAGCAGTTTGTATAAGTACGAGAACATGGAACAAACGGTTTCTGTTTCTCTCAGTGACCGAGGATCATCCAGAAGTAAAGGCCATTGTGCTTCAAACCATGGAGGAAGCCAAACAAATGAGCACACCTCATCTGGACCTGTATGTCAATGTGCTGAAGAAGTGTATAAAGGAGGTTTGTCAACGATTTGAAACATGACAGATAAACTAAACTTTAAAGATCAGAATATTTGAAGTGCAGTTTTGAATGGTCTGAGTTTGGAGAAACATGAACTCACATTCATAAAACACAGTACGTCTGACTGTTTAGACAAAGGAATGACACAATTGATGTTATAGATAGAAGAACTGGACTCAGATGCCGAGGTCCGAACGGGGTGGGTGCTTGACAACTTTCCCATCAACATTTTCCAAATGAAGGCCTTACAGGAAGCTGGACTCCTGCCAGATATGATTTTCTGTCTCAGAGACAGTGACGGACATCACGGTATGGGATCCGTTTTTACATTTCAAATTTACACTTTTAGAAATTTTTTTTTTTTGGTGGGGGTGGGGGGGCATTGTTCATGCTGTTTTGGCATCTGTTATACCTACTTCATTAGACTTTGTTTTAAGCAGTTTTGAAGAGAATCTACGAGATAGAAAAGGAAAATGTGAACAAAGCCATCAAGGAGAGGCTGCAGAATGAAATGGATCAAAGGATAAAAGAAAACTTGTAAGTCCAGACTCACTGAGGTTTTTAAGGTTTTGCCACCTCATATATACGTTAATGGTTTGAAACATTCTTCTGGTGTCATTTAGAAAACAAAAGGAGGAGCAATCAGAGGCACATTCCACTCTAGAAACAGTTACTGAGGAGACCAATGGTAGTACTGCACATTAAAACAACTTACAACACCATGCTTTACTACAACCTGTTAACTGATTTAATGTTTTTATCACAATATTGTCATAATCAGAAGATCAGTCTGATAGCATCAGTTCTGCAGACCCTGACACGTTAAATCAAAACGGTGAGTCATTTGGACGGAGTAAACTGGACTTTACAAGACTTTGCCCATCAATTTACATTTGCTTTCGAAGTACAAAAGTATAAAAGTAAACTATATTGTGTACAGTACTTGTTTTACAAATCTGCTTGCTGCATTAAACTAGAAACTATTAAAAGTTATTTCATGTTTTCTTTGTTCTGTGTGGCTGAAGCTGTAGCACCGCAGAATGACTTGAAGCTGGGATATCCAGATGTCCCAGAGATGAAGGAATATATACTGCAGATGCAGCAGTTTGATGGGGATTTAGATCAGATGCTTTCTGCTTTAAATGACAACAACTGTGTCCTGGAGATTGGCAGCAAAACCCCAGAGAGCTTGCTTCAATACTTGATTCAACAGATGGAGAGTAAGTATTTAAAAAAAAACGTGTTTTTTGTCATCTAAGCAAACAGTTGTGTTGCATGTAAATCCATCTATTTAGACACATTTGAAAAGGTATAACTGTCAATGTGAAAACTGAAACAACCATTTAACTAATTCCAACAAAGTTAAATCAGGTCATCTGGATGGTTTCTTTGTTGTTGTTGTTGTTGTTGTTGTTGTTGTTGTTGTTGTTGAAACTTTTCATCCTTCATCCAAAGGATTTCATCAGTCCAAGGAGCCACAACCAAACTCAGTCCCATAAGTGGCTTACTCACATAGTGGACCAACCAGTTTTATGGTGGTAAGATGGTTTCTGGAGTCCGTCCTCTCCCCGGTTGACTCTTCTGAGGCAGCCATGGCCAAAGTGGTTCAAAACATCAAAGTTCATGCACAATAATCCAGGTTAAAAATCCAACAAAGTTAAGTCAGGTCCTCTGGATGGTTTCTTTTTTTGTTGAAATGTTTAGTCCTTCATCCAAAGGACTTCATCAGTCCAATCACAAAAAAAAAAAAAAAAAAAAGAAGAAGAAACGACACTGTCCAGATGACCTGACTTAACTTTGTTGGACTTTTTTACCTGGATTATTGAGCATGAACTTTGATGTTTTGAACCACCTTATCCATGGCTGCCTCAGAGGAGTCGACGTGGGAGAGGGCGGACTCCAGAAACCATCTTATCACCATAAAACTGCTTGGTCCACTAAGTGAGTAAGCCACTTATAGGACTGAGTTTATTGTGGCTCCTCGGACTGATGAAGTCCTTTGGATGAAAGACAAAATATTTCAACAACAAAAAAAGAAATTGTCCAGAGGATCTGACTTAAATTTGTTAGATTTTTTTTTTTTACCTGGATTATTGAACATGAATTTTCACATTTGACTAATTGTTTAAGAGGCTGCATTTGGATTTTCCTCCATAACAGAATTGAAAGATAGTTAAAGGAGTTTTAGGGACTTTTTCAAATGTAAAGAAAACTTTAATCAATGTTAGTTTATCCCAATATATTATTTTCACATAATTGTGGTGTTATTTTTTTTAATTGAATATAGCATTCAAAGAATAGACATTCTTAGTGGACAGAAGTTGTATTCTAAATAATTTTGCTTACATGTGGGATCCTCAGAACCATTTCAGTATGTGGCTTGGAAGTTGTCTTCCTTTGACCTGGATGAAGAAGTTGAAGATGCTGAGGCTTCAAAGGCATTTGAAGAAGCAGAGGAAGAGAGCAGTGATGACTATGCTAAAGAGGAACAGGATGATGTTAGTATACAGTCAAGTCCTTTCACTTCAACTGTTGCTTGAACTTGTTTCCAGTTGAAAAGTGTAACATGAACAAACATTTACCAGTTTTGACTTTCTAACACAGGAGGACATCCAAATATCCAAAAGATCGTTAGGTGATACCAAGCATTTCTGTCCGGTCGCCCTAAAAATCCACAATGTTCTGTGGCCGTGCACAGATGAAATTTCTGCCAAATATCGTGAGAAGACTTTTTACTTCTCCAGCCTGGATGCCAGAGACGCCTTCCTTCTCAACCCTGCTCAGTTTGTTGCTCAGACTGAGCCTCTTCAGGTACAAGCTGACAGAAAAGCAGAAAGAAGTAGTTCTGAAGTTGTTACACGAGTGGAAATTCTCTCACACGTTCCTTATTCCTCTTCTGTTTCCAGCCTCCTGCACTGAGAATCGTTTTGCTGGGAGTCAGAGGGTCAGGCGAGTCGACTGTTGGCAGATGGCTCGCACAGAAGCTGGGGCTGTTCCACATAGAGTTCAGAGAGCAGCTCCAAATGTTGATCATAGCCAAGACAAAGAAAAGGATTCCTTATGATGATGAGGTAATGCTTCTGGAGGAGGAATCTAAAGACCTGGAAGTCTTAATAAAGGAAACCATGAAGGGAGACCAACAGGAAAAGGAAGATAACTCTGACCGCGTAAATGACACAGAGGTCAGCTCTATTAGTACTTTTTTGTGCCTCCACTAAGTTTTTAGTACCAACTTGCACTTTATCATTTATAAAGATTTAACATGTTATATTTTGTGACTCTACCACAGGATGTGTCCATGACTGAAGAAGAAACTGCCATCAAAGCCTACCTATCTAGTGGAGTTCAACTAAGTCCAGAGATTCTGGATATGGTTCTCGCACCCTACTGGAAACAAGAACCATACTTGTTCGTACAAAACTCATCTTATCTCATTTTAAAGAAAAATGTCAAATCTTTTTGCAAAAGGTGTTAACTTCTCTACTTGGAAGATTTAGGGATTTTGAGTTCCAAGACATAAAACTAATAGCCATGAATGGGTAAAAAAAAACCATAGTATAATGATGGTTGAGGCTGTTTGTGTAGTCATTATGCTGTTGTTTAATTGTCTTATTAGCAATATTTGTTTACTTCATCCGGTGACAAATGGGGTTCAAGTCTCTGCCTCTGTTGTTTTTGCAGATCAAAAGCTAAAATGTTTGAAAACCACTATCCTGTACCAGAACCTGTAATATACTGTGTTTCTGTTCTTAATAGTTGTAATTATTATTAGTTGAACTGATTGTTTTTAAGTTTCATATATATATATATATAGGTTAGATAAAGATATAACATTTTTTTTCCTACTTTGTAGGTCCACGGGGTTCATCTTGGAGGGTTTTCTTTCTGATTCCAAACAGGTCCAGTACATGTTGGAGAGAGTGTTTTTCCCTGATGTAGTCGTAGTCATGGAAGTGGATGTCACTGACGTTCAGAAGCGCCTGTTGCCAACCTACCTTGGCAAATGGCGTGACCTCCTCAATAAGCGTGACCAACAAATGCAACTCTTGCGTGATCTGCGCAAAAAGAACCTGGTAACAAAGTGTATTTGTGTGTCATTTAATTAAAGTATAATGTAACATCTGTTGCAATTTTTCCAAATTCAATATAATATATTAGATTCCTTTTGATTATAGTAGTATCTGACTTTTTTTTTAAATCTATATTATTATAGGAAGAGAAAATTTCCAAAAGAAGGGCAGACCTCATGGCAGAGCAAGAACAAAAAAAAGATGAAGTAAACATGAGCGAACTCATCATAACCTTATCCCATCTGCATCTGTGATTAACTCTTAACTCACTATTTGCTAACAAAACAGTTTAGGAATAACTTGGAAAAAGATGACGATGAAGAAGGCGATGATGCACACAGCATTGAAGACCAGATAGAGGAGATACTCAGAGAAGAGTTTCCCTCAGAAGATGACGATGAAGAGAGGGAAGATGAGGAGACCGAAGAGGCAGCGACTGAGAGGCTGGAGACTGAAATAGAAGAACGTTTTGGAACCGATGAAAAGAACCTTGTAACTGTGACGGTACAGAGACATCAACCCTTTAAAGTGATAGTTCAGATCTTTGGAAATGTGGTTCCGTGGAAAGGTTGTGAACAAATAGTATCTAACCTGTTATGGTTATTTTAATGGCCAACGGCTAGACTAAGTGATACCAAGACCAAAGTGGATAGCTGCCAACTTTAAAAAAATGTATCTCATAAATTTCATTACAGTTTTTACAAATGATATTTAACCTTTATATCACCAACGATTTTGAATTAACTTTAAAATGTCCTTAGGTGAGAGTGAGAGAATGAATGGTTGGTTGTCTCGATTGTCTCTATGTGTCTCTATGATGGACTCGCAACCTGTCCAGGGTGTCCCCCGCCTCTCATACAGTGACTGCTGGATATGTGCACTAGTGACCCCCGTAACCCAAAAAGGAAGAAGAAGCAGGTAAAGATGATGGATGGATGGATGGATGGATGGATGGATGGATGGATGGATGGAT